AAAAGACAAAAAAAAATAAAAATTAAAAAAAATTGCATGAGTAACTGCCGTGAGCAGAGATGTTAGACTCATCTAGAACGGCAGTCTTCCTGGGTCAAGTAAATGGGTGGTCGGTGCACCCAGGTGCACTCTCTTCTGCTAATCTCCTCTTTGAATGTCTCCCACACCCCTGATCTGCAGTATACAGGGCAGAACTCAATGCTGTACTGTTCTGTGTGCTAACCGTGTTTCTCCAACCTAAAAGAGAGCTCCTTGAGTGTGGGTCCATGTCTTGTAACTGTCGGTACTTAACCCCTATGTCCTCCTCTCTAGAACCTCCTCCAGAGCTTAGACCCCAGGAAACTCTATGAGTACTGTCCTCTGTCGTACCAACTGGTCATGCAAGGCAGGATCGAGACAAACAGGCTGCCAACTCAACCTAATTTAGCACACACCAAGCTCTGTGTGGAAGGCTTTCTGTGTGTTGTCTCATTTCATCCTCATTTCGTCTTACTCAGCCCAGTGAGGTGGGCAGTGTTGTGGATGTTTCACAGATAAAGAAAGCTAAGATGTGCAAAGGTTAAGTAATTTGTCCCCGGTTACAAGTCAGGGAACAGTGGGCCTGGGATCTGAATTCAGTCTCTGACTACAAGTCTATGTTCCTCCCTACTCCACACCAATCTTTTCCCTTTCTTCTGTTAGACATTAACATCCTGCACTTTCAACACTCAATTCCAGCAACCTTCTCACTGGAAGTCTGAGCACTTCAGCCACTGCTCTCTAGTGGGCAGGAACACCACAGACAACACTTTATCCAGCACCTCGATTCTCAGCATGATGTTAGCACATGTCTGAAGTGCAGGAACCCACTACCAAGCTCAGAGAAGTGACCTTCCATCCAGCTGGCATGTAGATCTCAGCTTNTGTAAAATTTTGCGTATGCTACCAGAACACCGAGGACGTAAGGCTATATGAAATGATTTGTGGACTTAAGGGTTTTGGGGATTCTCCTAAACCTATTACATTAAAAATAGATCAAATTTTTTAAAGATGCCATCTAAAACTATCTTTGGGAAAAAAAAGTCAGAAGAGTGTTGATTGGATGGTGGAGGGTTAGGATGGACTGGGAGGAAATACAAATAACTTTTTGGGGAGATGGAAATATTTTATGTTGTGACAGTGACATCAATTGTACAGCTAAGATTTGGGCATTTTAAGGCATATAAATTTTACCTAAATACAAAAAATCAAACCTGTGATGTTTATCATCATCGAGTCAGGCAGGGATGGGTGGTGGAATAGATGGAAGGAGAACGGCAGTGTTTTGAAAGTTCTTGATGCCGGATGACGCATACTGGGGATTCATTGTGCTCTTTTTTTTTTTTTTTTTGTTTGCTTGAAGTTATTCATAATAAGTTTTTTAAATGCCATCTAATTTCCTCATATTAAGAGGTAAGGCAGGGTCAAGGTTCCACCTCCATTTAATAAATAAGGGAGGGGTGGCAGGACAATTACAAGCAGGATATCAACAAATTTAATTTGGGGGTCAGCAGGAAGAGTCACTTTAAACATGGCTCCTTGTTATGTTCCTATTCAGTGCCCTTCCCCAGAAGCTCTGTCCACACACATGAATATGTATGTAGCAGGTTCCTGTCTCACAAAAATAATTGCATGAGGGGCCGGCCCGGTGGCACACTGGATAGTGCGCCGCTTGGGAAGTGCGGCGGCGCTCCCNGAACCCACTACCAAGCTCAGAGAAGTGACCTTCCATCCAGCTGGCATGTAGATCTCAGCTTCCCGACCACACATAGCCGGCTCCATGTAGTGACTCCGGCTCAAGGTTCAGCTGGGAATGATGGTCTCAGTTCTTTCATAGGGAACTATGTTTCTGGAACCAGCCGGCAGATGGCCACTGTCCTCACTTTGTTACCTGGGCATAGTGTGACCACAAATAGGACATGACCACACATGGGCCAAGGGCAGCTTCTTTTTCTGTAAAGTTCTGCCATCCTTCCAGGAGGAGGAAAACCTGTTGAGTTATTGAGAACATGACTCATCCCTGAGTTCTGTCCTGTCTCCCATTTGGCATATGGAAGTGCGACAGAGCAGAATTCAGGTGCATTTACTAGTTGGTGTGAAACTGACCCCACCACCCCCTCTCCCCTTTTGACTATAAATACACAGGTTGTGTTGTCAACAACGGTGAATGTGGATGGACATGTGCTGGCTGTTTCCGACAACATGTTTGTTCATAACAACTCCAAGCACGGACGGAGAGCAAGAAGACTTGACCCATCGGAAGGTAGGGCTGTCTGGCTGAGAATGGCCAACCAGCAAAGTTCTCCACACATTTTCTGGTGTGAATTTCAAATTTATGTCTCAGAGTCAGAGAAAGGACACAGAAGCATGTGGGTTTTTAAGTGAAGTTGTAAACACTGGCTCCAGCCTTCTCTGTTGTGAGCCCCGATCATCTCCCCGCCGGTGTTCAAGTCCTCCTGCCTTCCATTCAGTTCTGTGTTATTCTTTTTGCTAGACGGGCATTTCAGGCAAATGTAAGCCTGTGACATCTTAGTTAAACAGGAACATTGCAGTGCCAGACATGTATGAATAAGTGTCAGATGTGCCCTTAAACAGATTGTGGGCAAAACAAAACAATGTGCAGAATGAAACTGACACTAATTGATTTTTGTTTGCTTAGACAAGAAGAAATCATGGTCTGCTCTGGGTAGTTTTCCAAGTGCATTAAAGTAATTAGAAATACTGGTCACTGTTAAGCTTCAAGTTGTCCAAAAAATTAAAGTATATCGGTGAAGATAACTGACAAACCTAAGTGAATTCCAACTTAGCTATTCCCCTTACTTCCACACTCCCCCACTGACTGTGGTAGGAAGACCTTGTAATATAGAACGCATGGCCAAATTAGGCTACTATTTTAGTGTAATGTTTTGCAGTGTTTTGCTTTTATATGGTCCACCAGCCCCCACCCCGACTTGGCCCTAAAAATGTATCTTGTATCATTTTGAATAGGAATTAATGAACTGAAAGAAAATGATTGAATCAGTAAAGAATTTGGAGTGGTGTTAATTCTCCCACAGTGGGCACTGAAAGGGGAGATCTAGGAACCCATCCAGTTTCCTTTGACTGATTGAATGTGATTGACTGGCTGTTCAAAGGGGGCTCATGTTTTTGGAGTCCTGCCAAAGTTCTCCTCCACCTTTGACCCTGTCAACTTTGGAAATGGAGTGATGGATTGACTTCAGTTATGGCCTGAAAACCATATTGGGTTCCTGTTGGGATGTAAAGTCCAGAGGCCTCGAACATATGGAAGAAGGGAGAAAATCCTTCCTACAAAGTTAGTATTCTGATTAGAAATTGTCTTTTAATAGTGCTGAGAAAAATCCCTTC